TAGGAGTCCCTGGCTTCGGAACAACTACGGGTTTTTGAGTAATACCTTCCATGAAATAATCTGAAAATGAAATCTTAGTTCGTTAACCAGCAGGTGCTATAAATAATGTCACAGTACACATTTAATGCAATGTAGTCGCTCATCACGTGAGGCTAACGCTCATCACGTGAGGCCATAGGCCCTGGGTCAAACTGCCTGGGTCCCAAGCTCAGACATAAACCTTACCACTCACATCTGCAATCAACCCTATGAATTATTTGCCTGTGTCACTTTTCTCAGAGTTGAAGGAAGGTTTTTGTTTTTTTGTTTATTTGTTTGTTTATTTGTAAGTGTCACATAGGTTTGTTGCCAAGAATTAATTCACTTAAAGCACATAGTCAGTGCTTGCTAAGGAGCCATGCTGTTAATTTTACTATGACAGTACACTTAATTTTAGCCAAAAGGTCAGGAAGCAGCTGATTCTATTCCTTTACATCTTTAATGTGTGACTTCTCATGAAATATGGGAAAAAAAAACCCTTTATTAACCGCAATTTGGCAACTGAATTCAGAACATATTTAGATATAAATGTTAAAAAGTAGCAAAAGAAAGTCTACTTTTCATATTTTTTTATGGCTTGCATAACTGGCAGATTTTAAGCACACAGAAGAATGGAAAAGTTATCGAAAATAGGACTTTTTATAAGTGAATGGATTTCACAAGTCCTCATTTATTTCATATCTATGTAGTACAAATCCCTGAGCTATGAGGTAATAGGAGTTTAGAGGTAATAATCACAAACAAAATAATTACAAAATAAAGAGCCTGTCAATTGCTAATGAAGAGAGCCATTATCTCCAGTTTGCATAACCAGAGATCACACACCAACCCTGTTCCAGGCACCTGAGGGTAAGGTTTTCAACTGTGACTTGGGGTAGAGGGGAGGGGAATACAGATGGGGGATGAGACAAAGACTGGGCTGGTACTGCAGCTCAGCTGGTTAAGACATAATCTGCAATGCTGGCAACCCACATCAAAATGTCCACTTGAGTGCTGGCTGTTTCACTTCCATCCAGCTCCTTGGTAATGTGCCTGGGGACACTTGCAGAAGTTGGCCCAAATCTCTGGACCCCTATCACTCATAGAGGAGATCCAGATGGAGTTCCTGGCTCTACTGCTTGGGAAATTAATCAGTGCATAGAAGATTTTCTTTCTTTCTCTCTAATTCTGCCTTTTAAATAAACAACTCAAAGAAAAATTCAAACATTGTCCAGACCACAATAAGATACTTCGTTAGCTTTATGAAAATCGTATGAGAGTTGTGAAAAACGTCATCCATCTTTAACCTGTTCCATGAGTTTCTCCCTGCTCCTTGCATCAACAGGAGGACACCGCCGAGCTCCTTGTGTTAACAGGATTACAGGTATCCAGCTCTCCGAAGCAGCTATGGTTTACATTCTCTCCTTGGGCTGATAGAAGACAGTGATCAGGATTCTCTTTCTCCTTGATCTCAATCACCACTTCCAAATCATTACAACTTGCCCTCTTTTAAAGATAAGCTCCAGCTCCTCTGAAGTTCATGTCTTTTTGTTGCACTGTACTCTTCCACTTTCATCAAGAGCATTAATCCACTGGAACATAACTTTCTTATCACCCATTACCCTTTCATTTCTGTTTACCCTGTGTGTTATCCAGGGTAGATTATGCTGTCTTTCCACACACTCTCGCCAATTTGCTAAGCTCTTTCTCTTTGGTCTACATGGCAAAACATCAACCTTGCACAAACTCAAACCTATGAGTTCTTTAAAGCTGCACATCCCAGTGCTGTGAGACATCCCACAAGTAGATGGGTTGGTAGTTTTCCATTTTAATTAAGTACTAATAGACCCTGGACACATAAGAAAAATGTTATTGTCTTATTAACTTGCTCTCCCAACACTCTTCAATGACTTCAGATTTTCACACTGCAAAAATCTTTAAACCTTAACCTTTCAGCTCTCTCCTTCAACAGATCTCAATGCCTAATTCCCTGGGAACAGAGGAGAATCCCTGTAACTTGCCACTGCCAAACAAACCAACAGCTCATGTTTGTTTTATTCCTCCTGATTTAATAAAGAGGGAAGGAATGTCTTTCCTCTTATCCAAGATCAGTCCTTGACACATCATTTTGCTTAGATCCCATTTCTCCATGCATGCACCATTAAACTGTTCCTTTGCACATCCAAGCAACCCCTAACTTAAACAAAAATTTTTGTTGTTAATCCGTGCTTGTCTTTGGCAACAGTTGAACTTCACAACAACAATTGCATACTCTTCTGTTTCCTCCTCCATTTCTTAATCCAGAAATCCTACCAAAACACAGCACACAAGTAAGGCCAATGGGCAGTTTTCAGTCATCATTTTACTGAAGTTGTTGGTATTATCTGGTCTTCAGACTACTCCTTTCTTACATTTTTTAAAATTAAGCAATCCATAAAAATATACACATTTGTGGGATACATATGACCTCAAACCCTGATCATTTCTTTATAGTGAAACCATTGAAGATCCCTTCTTCTAGCATTGTAAAAAAATATACAGTTCATTACTGCTGTCTGGAGTTCTAGCAGGCAGTAGAAACTAAAGCTGCTTGTTCCTGTCCACTGGTTAACTTTTCTTCATCCTTCTCTCTCCTTACCACTCTTTCCAGTCTCTGATAACCACCATGCTACCCTCAACTGCTGTCAGGCCAACTTTTCTAGATCAGGCTTCATCTGTCTTCGCCTGGTTTACCTCACTGAGTCTAATGGCTCCTCCCACCCCCACTTCTGATGCAACCTTTTCCTTTGTGATGAACAAAAACCAAGGCACAGTACAGAGAGAAGACACTGGGGTCTTGAGAAAATGCTGCCACCACCTTTGAGATCTTCCTCACCAATTAAAAAATGCACATTAGATGATATTCTCTAAGCAGGGATGTCGATCACAGACTGCTATAAAAATAGAAATGCCAAATATTCTTGGTGGCAATGATGTCCCTATTGCTATTTTTATTTTTATTATTGTGGGTATTTGGATTCTAATCAGTATTCAAATTGTTTAAACAAAAAGTCTTTGAAGACCTTTCTAACTGCTATGATGAATGAAAATTAATAAAATATCAAACCTTATATTTTGAAGGTAAACTAACTTTTACTTAATTTCTTATTTTGAGGCCATTTTTAAAAACCCTTTTCATCTTCATAAAATAAAGCATTAAGCAACATGCCTGGTCTTCCTCTCTGTCTCTCCTCCTCTCTGTATATCTGCCTTTCCAATAAAAATAAATAAGTCAAAAAAAAAAAAAAAAAGCAACATGCCTGGGTAGTAATCTTGATCAGTTTCTTCTGTTTTCCCTGACTGGAGTAATCCAGCGAATTTTCTTGGTGCATCATAGGTTGAGGTCTCCTGTTCTTCTGTTTCATATAGTTCAGTCTCTGTTGCTGTAACTTCTTCATATTGTACATATGCTACTCATCTAGTTGGACAAAGAAAATATTCTGAGAAATAAAAGCATCATCATACCAACAAGACACCGAACTGTTAGCGCACTATTCGGAATTTCACTTTTATAATTGCAATGGCTTTTTATGGTAAACACGTTACAACTTAAAGATTGAATATTTATTTTGTACTTTATAAGAAAGTGTAATATCTGTCCTTTTGAGTGATTTTTGAGCATGCATTTTGAAAACAAGAGCCAAAATATTTACATTGGAAGTCAAATTGTTAAGTACTCAACAGAGATAAGTGGTTTTAGCATAAGAACATAATGCTATAAATTATTAGTAAAAATGCAAAGTGAGAAGGGATATAAAAATCTTGATTTCATGTTAGATAAAAAATATTATCCATTTATATTAGTGGTAGAACCAACTCAGGACACTCTTCTGAAATTTTACATTTATTTATTAACTTCCTTTATGACAAAGTGAAAAACTCAACTCACAGCATATCAGACAATTGTCTGCTCTGTAAATGCTGGAAAAAACATTTTGCAGCAAATCCCAAATCATTGTCTATAATCTATCGATGCAGGAGGTCATATTTTAAGGCAGCAAAGGAAATTCAGACTGTGCAACTCCTTTTGTGTGTGTGTTGTGTGTGTTGTATGTGTGTGTTGTGTGTGTGTGTGTGTATGTGTGTGTGTGTGTGTGTTTGGGGGGGGAGTCCCTTAAACAACAATAATCATATAACTAAGAAGGCGCTACTTTTTTCAGGGACAAGTAAGGCATAAGTTCTTATTCATAAAGCTTAGAAACTGTCAGGAAACAGGCAGTGGGCATGCACTCATAACTCACTGGGTGGGACAAAAAGATTAGTTATTCCTCACTAGGGTATTGAAGATTTCTCTGCACACCCCTTCTAAAACTGTTCACCTAAACTGTTGACATATGTCTTGTTAGAGTTATAGTGTTAGACTACCTGAAAAACAGCAAGGTTCTGCAAAATCATGCTTTAACGCTATAAAGTGCTAAATACTAAAATTAAAATAGACATGAGACAGCTGAATAGTAATCTATAGCCATTTTAAGGTGTATAGAACCCAGTTGTATATAAACTAACAATTGAAATGTCAATGTAGAAGCATAGGATGTGGTTCAGAACTTGCACTTTTTCTCTCTCTCTCTCTCTCTCTCTCTCTCTCTCTCTCATAACATGTTGGTTACACAATACCATGTCAACTAATTCCATTACGTTATAAATTGTTACTGATGTAATGTTGGGGCTTTTAATTGATTGGGATGATACTCTGTCAGCTCTACCTTCAGACCAGAGATGGTCTCCCCAAGAAACCGTTGAACTTATCTGGACAATAAGATGCTGGACTCTGCTTTGTAGATGCTTGCAATGAAAGAATTTCAACTGAATTTGAACTGTGGTAATGCAACAAGGTGGAGGAATCCAACATGTGGGGGGGCAGGTTTTGGGGAGGGGAGGTGGGAATCCCAGTGCATATAAAACTGTGTCACATAATGCAATGTAATCATTAAAAAAAGGATAAAAAAATAAGTTCTTATTCATAAGCAGTTCATCGGGTATCACTAAATATGTTCTCTTTGAACTCTTTTGAGACCCCATTGGTTTATAAACATTTTGCAAAGTTTCCCCTTGAAACTCTAACCTACAGACAGACAGACAGACAGACACACACACACACACACACACACACACGGAGCATCTGTGCCCAAACATTGCCTACTATTCCTCAAAGAATCTCAGAATTTCATCTGGGACATTGTTCTTTCCCATAGTTTCAGTCTTGGAGCCTTGTGGCCTGGGAGACTGGAAGAACAAGAGGGCGAAGATGGTGCCCAGGGGCAGACGTGGGCACCCACTTCTGTAATCAACCACTCACTCATTTCCACCCTTGGCCCACACAGGGTGCTGAGGTGCTGACACCCCCCAGCCTCTGGCTGATTTGGCTGCTCCTGTGGCTTCCTGTCTTGCATTGGTGACAGCACAGATGCTGATGCCCCAAGAAGAATGTGGGAAAGCACAAAACACACAGCTATGCTCAAACTTCTTCCATCTGCTTGGTGCTGCCACTTTCTGTACGAAGTCCACATCTATTATAAACCTCCCTCTGTGTGGGGTTTCTCAGTTGTCTGTTAAATTCTCATACCCATCAACTCCCTCTTACTTTTTTGGGGGGGGCGGTGTGCATATCCAAGCTTAGTCTCCAGGGGTGACCCAGCTACCAATGTTGATTTGTTTTACTAGGAACTCAGTCCCTAAGAAACTAAGGTCTTTACTGACCAGAGCCTTTCACTATCCTCCACAAAACACACTAAGTTTTACACCTTGATGGCTTACCAATGCTGTAAAAATCATATTATGAGGGTGGGGGGAAATTTCATTTTACCATATCTTATGTTTACCTTGGTTTTGTGGTGCTTTCTTCTTCATATTCTCCTTGAGTTAAAGTAGTAAAATCAATGGGTATAAATGTGGCCATTTTTTTTTAATCTGGAAGAAGTAACAGGATATGAAAATTCACATTGTTTCTATAACCTAAGAGACAATTTTGACAGTTTTGTTACTAATTTCTATTTTTGTTGCAATTTAGTCTGAGTTGATACATGATATGACTATTTTTAAAATATAAGACTTATAACCTGCCCCATGATCTATCCTCAAAAATATAATATATCTGAGAATGTGTGCTGGAGAGGCCTGTCATTCCAGTCGCACCTGGGAGTGATTTAACTCTGCTTGTGTTGTGTTGATTTTCTGTCTAAATGATCTGTCCATTCCTGAAAGTGGCATGCTTTGTCACCCACAATTATTTTACTGGAATCCAGCTCTATGTTCAAATATATTAATATTTGTTTTATATTTTTGGGTGCTCTGATACTGGGTGCATAGAGAGTAGCATAACTGCCATTTCCACTTCCTGAACTGAACCCTTTCTTTAGTATATAATGCCCTTGCTTGTCTCTTTTCACTGTTTAGATAAATCCTATTTATCTGATATAAATATGGCTACTTCAGTTTTATTTTGGGTTTCATTTGTATGGATGATCTCATTCTATCCCTTCATGATCAGTCTATTTGTGTTCTTACAGATGAAATGAGTTTCATGTAAGCATTATACAACAGAGTTTTTTTTTTTTTTAAGAAAAAAATCCATCAATCACTATATGTCTGATCATTGGAGAATCTGACAAATTTGCATTCAAGGTCATTATTCATAGGTAGCATCTTACAATAGCCACTTTCAAATTTTATCATAGTTCTTTCTTTCTTTTCTTCCATTCTAATTTTTTGTGATTAAGTGATTTTCTCTAGCAATGTGATTCATTATTATTACTATTATTTTGATAAGTGTACTATGGAGTTTTAGTTTGTTTTTACAAGATATTTTGAAATGATAGCAATTTGGCAATAATAATAAAGAAAGGAAACAAGAAAGATAAGAAAGATTAAAATCTGCATTTACATGCTAAGACTATACTTGATTTTACATCTTTGGAATTGCCTGTCTCTCAATATAGCATTGAAAATATTAGTGTTCCCTGTATGTTTTACTTTGTAACATTTCATTTCATTTATTTGGTAAACAAAGAAACAAACTAGAGATGGAGCATGAATCCAGGCACTCCAGGTTAAGATGCCCAATCAGCATCTTAACCACTACGCCAAACATCTATTCTAGATTCATCTGATTTTCTAAGAGGGAAATTGATGATCAAATTGGAGAACCCAGCCACATGTTACTTAGCAAAATATCCAAAAAATAAAACCACACCAAAAATTTAAAAATATACTAAAAACATTAAACACATAATTAGCCTATGATCTAGAATTTTTAGGTATATATTCAAAATTATTAAAAGCAGGAACTTTGGATATTTGTTTTCCAAATTTCAGAGTAATATCATACACAATAGTCTGAAACTACAAACAACCAAAATACCCATCGACAAAGAAAATATAAAAAAACGAAAGGTGGTATATATATTATCATGTGATGCATACATACAATGGAATATTATTATTCAGTCTTCAAAATAAAATCTGAATACACACTACGACGCAGGTGAACACGAAGACATGTTAAGCAGAACAAATTAGACACAAGAAAATAAACATTCCGCTAGATTCTGATAATCAGAGAGAGTGAAAGACTTAGCGGAGCAGATTCTCTCGGGGGAAAAGAAGAGAATTGAAAAAGGTAAAAATCACAATTAAACTGATAATCACAGTAATAGAAGGGGCAAAAAAAAAAAGCTTTCCCAGCAGATTACATGAAGTTTTTGACTTTTCACTAATTTGTAATAATTCTTCTCACTCTTTCTCCCATACATCTGGGGCCCTGTTTTGGTGCTAGGTTGTGCACCATCAATATCAGCTATCCTACCCCCAAAGAAGCTTGACATCATATGGACCAAAATCCCATTTAAAACCTGGTAATTTTGTTTTAATAACAGTGGTTTTTGTGCTTGTATGGTTGTATCTCATATCCAAGCATCATTGAAATTCCCACAAGCATGTCTATTTCTCCTCTCTGATGTTCTTTTCTGCTCTGCTCACACCTTCAGCTCGCTTGTAAACCTGCTTCTCCAATCTGTAAATAGCTTTTACTTTGGACATAAAGCCCTGTTGTCCTTTGTCCTTCTGTCTATTTTGGCTGACATTTCTTGGTGATGAGGATTCAAAGTGACTCCTTGAGCCTTGCTGGAAGATGCCTAAAATCAAAGCACAGCATCTGCCCAGGTGCTGTGAGCTGAGCTGGTTTTCTGACAGTTCTGGAGAGGCATTGTGACAAGGCCCTCCTAGACCCAGACCTTCCATGCTTGGCTGAGCTCCTGAAGAGCGGCTATCCATGAGGCTCCAGAGAGTCCAATCCCCAGACCTGCTTAAGCCAAGTCTTCAGCCCACCAGGGTTTTAGGACTAGAAAGCTAAGGCTGCAGAGCTCATTGCAAAAAGGCCACTCAAAGGGGAAAGCTGCTTCCAGGATTGCTTGCAACAGGTAACCTAGTTTATTAAGAAGGTTCCCAGGACCAGGAAGGCTGCAGCTTTTGTGTTGAAGAACTGTATGTGGTTGGCAATCATGAATGACATTGGTTTAAGCTAACGCAGGATAACTTAAAAAAGGAATCTGTTGGTAACTGGGTGTATCCTTTTATATCTGTAACTCAGTGCATTTGCACACAAAATTAGAACAGAGGATTCACACCTCACAAAGCAACCCTTAACTTGCTGCAATGGCCACTTGGAGAGTTCCAAACATAACCACGAAGTGATCACAGCCTCTCTTAAGAAGATCGGCACTAAACTAAGAAGGCCATGACAGACTGGCGGCCTCATCAGACCCCAAGCCAAGTCTACCTTGCTCAATCCACTCCTAAGGGAAAGCTGCTTTCTCTTCCTCCCTGTGAGGACCCCAACTCCACTCCCACTCCACTAGGTCACCCCAGTTTCCTTCCTGCTGCCCCCTCCACTCTCCTCTGATGACCACACCCCAACTCCTCTGGAACCTCCCCACCCCCGCCACATAGCCATCACATACACACTGCAACCAAGCTCCCTTTCTTGACCTTTCCCGATGGTTGCAGCGGCTCCTTATGAAGTCTCTCCCACTGACAAAAAAACATCTCCCACAGCTCCTATTTAAATCAGGTTAATGGAAACACTGGCATGCTTTTTCCCATGGGGAAAAAAAAAACTGAATGCTTAAGAGTAGTAAAAGGTTTTCTGAATCCTAAGCAGGACTCTTGAGGGTCCCAAAGACAGCCAAGCCTCCTTATTAGTGCCTACCTATTGGAATTATCGGACCTTCATTGATGAGTTCACACGTTAGCAGGCCACCTCCAAGCACAGGTATGTCTCCACAAAACTGGATGGGATTTACCTGAAGATGATTTTACTCTTGCATTTTAACAGGGCTGGCATTGTGCTCTGTGTGTCCTACAGGGTAAAGCTGTTGCTTGTAATGCCAACAGCCCACGCATGCACTGGTTGGAGTCCTGGCTGCTCTACTTCCAATACAGGTCCCTCATGTGCCTGAGAAAAGTAGAAGATGGTCCATATTTTTGAGCCCCTGCCACCCAGATGGGAGACCAGGTTCCCAAAGCTTTGGGCCGTCCTCGACTGTTTTCCCAGGCCACAGGCAGGGAGCTGGAAGGGAAGCGGGGCTGCCGGGATTAGAACCGGCGCCCATATGGGATCCCGGGCGTGCAAGGTGAGGACCTTTAACCACTTGTGCCACCGCTCCGGGCCCCCTTCTTCCTCTTTTAATGCTTTACACATTAAAGCCTATATCATCTGATATAAGAGTGGCTATACCAGCTCGTGTTTCCTTTTCCATTAGCCTGGAATATCTTTCTCCATCCTTTGACCTTCAGTTTCTGCTGATCTTTGCTGGTGAGATGTGCCTCCTCTAGGCAACAGATAGAGAGATATTTGGTTTTAATCCAATTCAATAAGCTACAGTGCTTGATTGATGAGTTCAAGCCATTTACATTCAGGGTTAATACAGATAGGTAGAAATTTGTTCCTGTCATTTTAGCAATAGGTTCTTCATTGATGTGTTCATAGGTATCCCAAGACCACCAAAGGAGGTTTGAAATAGAGGAAAACTACAGTTTTTTCTACAAAAGTTTGATTTATATATTAGGTAGAGCTTGAGAAAAAAAAAATACTGAAATCAAATAATCACAGTAACATACTATGCTAAGAGTTAGGTGAATATAGTCATTGATCTAAACAAATCTTATTTTAATTTCATTTTTCCTATGAGACAAAACACATTTTGACTTCTCTTCAGCATATCCAAATTGCCAACATCATTGCTGTTGTATTTTGAGATCATTTTTGTAAAATAAGAGAATATCTGAGGAATGGGCCTGATGCTATTGCTCAGTGGCAAATTTCCTCCCTTTGCATGTTTCAGGAGCCCATGTGGGCACCAATTTTTGTCTTGGCTGCTTCACTTCCATTCCAGCTCCCTGTTTGCACCTTTAGAAAGCCTTTGGGACCTGCACCCATGGGGGAGACATGGAATGGGCTCCTGCTTCTGGGCTTTCGATCAGTTCAGTTGCAGCCACTGAAGCCACTTAGGACGTGAACCCAGAACAAAAGACATTTCTCTGTGTCTCTACGACTCTGCCTTTCCAATAAATAAATAAATAAAATCTTAAAAAAGAAGAAAAGCATATCTGGTTACCAGCATTGGGGTGCCATGAAAGCCAGTAAGATAATTAAGATGGATATTAAACAGGGGCAAAAGAATAAATCCCATTCCAGACAGGATGGAGGACCACACAAGTTTGATTTCACCACACTAATCAGAATACCACACAACTAAAAACTTACAAACTGCTTACTACCAGAATTTTCCATGCACTCTTTTAATGCAATTGGCTGTACGTAATCAAAACCACAGAACAATGTATAAAACCACGGACTGACTTAGGATTGGCCATAGG